AGTGTTTCACACCATCTTCCTCCACAAACTAAATGTGGTATCTCAAAAGCTGATCAGCAAATCTGCGGAGCACAGAGAGAGTTAATGCAGATCTTCACCTACTCCAACAAGAAACCCTGTGTTTGTCGGTCAACCATGCACATTCTACTGCCTAGCAGCCAATATTCAGAGGAAACGGGAAAGCCCGCAAAGGATCACCCTGAGAACCCCTCAGCCACAGGCCAGAGGTTCACATGTTAACAGCTATCAGTCAACAACCAGATGCCTTCTATGTTTAAGCTGTCAAAGCAAGTTTGCCAACCTGTTCTGTATGCATGCACGGTCAGATCTCATCAGTAACACAAGCAAAGATGAGACCCCTTTTCCTTTACATGCACTCCTGGCATTAAGACAACTGTGCATTGACATGACATACTGTAACTAACTGAGTAGGCAGAATTTTGTAACAATGAGGTCAAGTACAAAAATTTAAACCTACTGATAAAATGCGCGCTTTTCTTGGAAGTACCTTTTATGAACTCCACACTAGGCACAGATTTTCTACAGTCTCTGAACTACAAATCACAGGTCCGTTGCTTTCTTTTCTTCCTCATGGCAAGGGGAACAGCAGAGCCAAGACTGGCAGCAACTCACCAGACTCATGCCACCACTACACACCCACATACCAAAACCGTGGTCTAACATTGCGTGGTATTTTTCAAATCTCAAAACCAGGTCTAACTTCCATTAGAGCAAGACTCCTCAGAGGAGCTGAACTACGTCCTGGGAGCTTTAGCGTGTCAGCTGATGAAGTCCCTGCCAGTGCAGCAGCTGTGCTGTGGGCAGCACTGAGTCCGTCAGCACGACTAAGAGTACACCAGCCACCTCAGCAAAGGTTTTGATGGCGTTTCCTTGTAGTGGAGCTGATACATGGGTACTTGTTCACGTCTAATGAGGTGAAAACTTCCTGACAAATCTTCAGCACCTATCAAGTCTGAGCCTCTCCAAGGTCTGAGGCGAGGTACACAAGCTGTGCAAGCACTGAAGTCTGGCACAAGTTGACTTTCAGCTGTCAGAAAAATTGTTCAACATAAGGGCATGAACTAAATTTTGTTGAACTTCCAAATGAAAAGATTTTACTAAAAAACAAAAGCCACCAATTCAGTAAGACTCAAGAAAGAGACACACTTCAGACATTCAAATTATGAGTTGCAGGTACAAAGAATGAAATGAAGGTGTTCATGCCCTTGGAGTGGTCTAGGTCAAGAAACAAACTTTATTAAAAATAACCTTGTGCAGGCACTTCACATAAAATAACATGGACAGACAAACGTATCCGAAAGAAAACTGGCACCTTCAGACGAAGTTGTTTACAGTAAGTGTTTGTAGGGCACAAGCCACAGTACGGGGTGACACACTTCAACAGTAACCTAAGCGATTGTGCAGAGCCAGAGAAGGGACCGCAATGAAAAAAGCCTATCTGAAGGTTAATGCATATGAACATGAAATGTGGTGCTACTCTTATTTCTGTTACAGCAATCAACAAGTAACTAGCTGCCAAAAATTTTAACAGGTACTACAGCATATTCGATTTCAAAGTGATAAATCTGATAGAACATCTCAATATGAACTGTCAAAAACTTAGGCAACTCCTTCTTTCAAGACAGCCGTTGAGAAGCCATCTGCAGCTTAACTCTTGCGTTAAGCTTGTGCAGGTCTTTCCTCTCCTCCACCAGAACAGCTGCCGGGGGCTCCACACACACCTGCAGCAGTGCGACGCAGCCTGCGCGCGAGGGCAGAAACGCCTGCACCTCCTGCACTCCCGGGGACACCAAACCAACTGCCTGATTCTCTGTAAGGACAATGCCTTCAGTGAAGGCCAAGCAGCAGCAGTACGCACGGAGCTAAGTGTTATAACATGGGGCTGGGGGAAGAGTTGTTTCATGATAATGTTCTTGTAATATTTCCTGATTAAAGAGATATTGCCTGAACGTATCCTGTAACCATTTAAGTCTGTGCCATTCTGCTGAGAGTACCAAGGTGTATCTAAAATACAAGCTAGGCGATGGTAGCTGCTTCCCTCTGTTCAATGAAGAGCCACTACAGAATTTACAGAGGTATCTGTCAAATCTGCCACTGCAAAGGTAAGATCCTGCTTAGAGAAGAGGGACAGGACAGATCAGTTTCACACTCACCTTTCCAGCTCACTCAAGTTCTGAAGCCAATGCCATGTAGCACAATTTACATTTCAGATGTGGAAATTTCAGAGTCTCCACTTTATTGCAAAGTAATTAAACTACTTTTAATTACTTTTTAAATTAAATTGTTCCTTCCTGCATTCCACAAGATGGTCATTGAAGACTGCTTACATCCATCTCCTTTTCTATGTGTCAAAATTCTAAATTATAATTACTACAACTGTTTCCTACTGTTCTGAATACTGCATAATTTCCTAGAACTTTAAGAACAGTAAGTATTTTCACTTTATATCTAGCCAACAGTCCACCCCACCATTTATTTGTTTGTAATTTAACGTGCAGCAGAGTCAGTAAGGAGTCCCAGAACTCCAGAACAAAATTTGTGAGAAAAGAACTAAAGTGTGATAAAGCTTGTAAAGCAAGAGTATTGCCAAGCTTATGGAATGAAAAGACTCCCAATTTCTGAACTCTTCTCTGTTAGAAATTGCCACTTTTCCTTAAGCACTAAAATCTATCTAATATAATGAAGCCTAAGAAAAGGACTATTGTACCAAAATGTAAAATGATTGAAGTATATTCACTCTGAACAGGAGAATTTTTGTTCACAAAAGGACTGCAAAGATGAAAAGAAAGCCTACCGTATCTGATACTTAATTATGTACTCAAAAAGCCTTCACTCTCACTAAGCAGTACATCCTGAAAAGCCTTTCAAAAAAGTGACATAAAAGTGTTCAGCAGACATGGAGAGAGAGTCCTGCTCAGCAGGCTGTCTTCCTACACGTGCCATTAGGAACAGAAGATCCGCTTGCAAAGAGACAGGAGAAGAGAACGCAAAATGCAACAGTATGAGCTCGTAAATCCCATTACCTCTAGAACGTGTGGTACCCCCACAACAAAAATTAGAAGAATTGAAAACCAAATGGCACTTAATATCAGACGTGTGATGTAACTGATTAACGACATTCTTTTCTTCATCACAAAAAACATTACTGCAGCTGCACAGCAGCAGCCTGTGGCGGTGAAGGTGACCTGAAAGCTTTGCGGCTCACCGTCCACCTCGGTGCACTGCTCAGCAGCTGCCAGCACAACCAGGGGCCATCTGCAGGGACACCCTACAAGGCCATCAGCGCAACAGTCCAGGTTAAAAGTATCCATTCCCAAATGGAGAGTGAGAGGGGTGGGAAGTTAAAGTGAGCAAATCTGGTTACAGCTCAGCACCATGAAGAATTACCTGCCAGTGCAGCCAAGATGGGGGCAAGGAAGCGCGTTTGGGGGAAAGGATCATCGAAAGGGACAAGATCTTGAGTCACCAGCCAGTTCATTCAAAGTAATCACAGGAAAACAACATCTCAAACCAAAATAATTGTGCAGTTGCAAAAAAGCAGAACAGAATTCTGTTTATGGAAAAACACGTGACATGCAAGCAGCATATTTTGATCACTGTGCAGCTGCTGGCAGCTGTTCTTCATGCTTGTCTTGGTTGTGTTTCTCAAGGCAATACTTTGGTTTCATCTAAGCCGCGTGCAAAGCAGAACACACACAAGCTGGCATATCCTAATGTATTTAAAGAAAAGTCTTCCTCTACTTAACTAAACAACGCAAAGGCATGAGGTTTGAAGTTACAGAAGTCTTTGGGGCACAGAAGTTTACCTGTAGTGGCAGTACGTTAAGTTACACTTATCTTGCCTGAACAGACAGCAGCACCTCACAGGAAAACCTGTCTGCTGGACACATCAGGAAAAGCAGATATGCAGCGAAATGAGGCCAGATATATTCTGCAGCAGTCAGATGCAGCTCACTGAACAACTTGCAAGACTCTGGAATTCTTAGTTAAACAGAATATTAATGGAAGATCAAATATAAAGACTAAACCCACCAAGGAATTCAGCCAAGAGAAACTGGATTTTATAAAACAATCAGAAGACAAAAGAGATGACAATTTTTGTGGACCTACAGTAAAACGAGAAGTCAGTCCAGAACAGAGTTTGGACAGGTTATCTACTAGACTGCAGTTCACAGCTAGACCTAGATTGCCACCCTGATGTTATTGCAAGGCACTAGGAACAAAGTGCTTCAGAGAATGAGATGGTGAAGCAGAAGTTAATGTGATTCTGAAGACTCCAAAGCAGTTATAACTTGATAATTTATTTTTTCCTAACCATTAAGTTTCTATCCCTTTCCACTACCTGTCAGTTTTGTGAGGACCTTTTTCAAGTACAGCTGTAGCAGCCGCATTTGTTAAATACTAGGCCTTTTCTTCCCCCCACAGGTCCAGCAAAGAGAAGTGTAAAAACCGCAGAAAGCAGTACTGGATTTCTATCTAAGTATTCCCTTGAAGTCAGACCATGAAATGTAAAGACCAAGTAAGAAGCAGGAGAGCACTGGAGTCACCCAGACTGTTTCCTTCATACAGAAATGGACAAAAGTCTTTGAACAACACTATTTAGATATTTGTCAAGCTGGGGAGGGGAGAGGGGGATCAGAAAATCAGGGAATTGTAGATTCGAAAACAGAACAGAGGGTTAGTTCTCAAGAGAGCTGTTACAAAGGAATAAGAGCAGCTGCGTAGTCGGTTCATTACAGAACATGATCTATACTTCTAGATGAGGGAATTTCTTCAGTGTTACCTTCTCTAAAACTTCATGTTCATACACATTACGCTTCTTCTCCACAAAGAAATATGCTAAGATGGAGCCCTAAAGACACTCCTTCGGGTGGGGGGGGAATCAATTTCTGCTCTTTCCTGCTTCCTGCTGTTTGAGGGGAGAAAAAAAAAAAGAAAAAAAAAAAGAAAAAAAAAGAATATATCAGCACCATACTTACACAATGAACCAGCCGTGGTCTGTCCTCTTTTTGACCTTTCTTGATTAGCTTTTTCAGAAGCCAAAGAAGCTCTGGTTTGAATATTTCTTTTTACAGGGTTCTGCTGTGATTCTGCAGCCTTCTCCACTCCATGAAAGTATTTCATGTGATAATGCAATAACTTGGCTTTGCGGAAGGATTTTGAACAGTCCAAGAACTTGCATCTAAACTGGTGATCTTGGTCAACAGTTGCAGCTTTTTTTGATGCAAGAAAATCTGCTCTCCTACAAGGTTTTGTTACTGTAAGAACAAAACAGATAAAATCCCCCATGCATTTGCTATATTTATCAAATGGTTTCCCAAACTCAAAACAACAAAAAAGTTAATAAATGGACATGCATTCAATCATGTTAGTTATGAAATGCTAAAAATAAAATGTTAATGCTGTATCGGCCTTTAAGATCAATAGCTTTTAAGGGAAAACTCTGCCCTACCATGCTCGTAAAAAATGGTGCCAGTGTTTTTATGAATGAGTTGGCCAGAAAACAACATTTTGCTTCCATGAGTTCCTTGCCCAACAGCTAATGTCACTGTCTGTAGTGCTACTATAGATAGGAGACTGAATTCAACAGAGAGTGCGCACTGCAGTCAGAACACAAGATTATGTTCTATTTATTTACAACTGTTCACATCTTTGCTGAAAGCACTTTCCAAGGAAAACAGTTCTGCTTCTTTACCTGTAACTATTTTGCTACCTGTTTTCTGCACACCTTGTCCTACCACCAAAGCCTGGTTACTTCCGAGAACAACAGAAGCAGTATTTCAGAACTATAGTTTTTCAAGCAAAATTACGATTTATTTCAATTTTCAAGCAGCAATAAAAGAATGAGACTAAGTAAAAGGAAAATTGCTTGCACCTGTTAAATAATCTCCCCTCTGAGCTACAGTTAACTAGTTTCCAAAAAAAAAAAAAACAAACCAAAACAAAGGGAAGTCTTGAAACTCAAATGGAAAAATGTTTTAAGGCCTCTGTTTTACAGAGCACTGCTGTGCAAGGCAGGGCTATCCCTTAACTTGACCTGGTAAATTCCTATTTCTTCTTCCAGTATTTCAGACACTTATAATTCATGCTTTTGCTAAGAAATACACAAAAGGAACATTTTGAACTAAGAGGAAATCAGGTTACTGTCACCAGTATCTGTACCCAATACAACCAAGGAGAGGTAGAAATTTCAAAACACAGAGATATAAAGAGACCCAGGCAATCTTCCATCACCAAGACGCACACAGCATCAAAAAATCCCTCACCAACTGGAGAACAATGCAAAGGAGGTGTCATTTTACAAAAAAGCTTCCAAATATATTTTTTTCCATTTGTTTTGCCAGTACTGAAATATAACTTCCATATTCACAAGTATTTTCAAACTTAGGGGATTAAGAAAGAGTTTAAAGCTAAGACCCAGACCTAGCAACAGTGATGCAGAACTAAAGGTATGCAGCACGCGAATGAAAGTTAAGACACTACCAGTAGTCGAAAAGAAGGAACACCAGAGGACCCAGAAACATTACGAGCAAGAAGTAGCGCAGAAAGAGTAAGACCTTCCAGAAGCGCACATACGCAGGACTGCACAGGAGTGTTACAGGCAGTGTCAACACGCTCTTGGTGTAAGAACACAGGACAGCTTGCTCAGAAATTTTTAGCATGCAGCAGCAAAAATGGTGAGTGCTACCGAGCTGCACACTTGAAGGTTACGTCATAGTGAAGAGGAGCACCCTAGATAGCGGCATCTGAAGCACACTCGGTTTTTAAGTACTGCATTATGACAAAGAAACCAAACTTGAAGCATTCATAGAGAAAAACAAGTAATGGTACTATGGAGGCTGACGCAGAGGAATGGATTAACAAGTCAGCACATCTGACAGGTTAAAAGAAAGAACACTTCGTTAATTTTGAGAAGAAAATAGTAAAACGAAGGCATTGCTTTTGGATGTTTCAGGAAGATAACGACAAGGAGAAAGACGTTTTGACATAGCCATGCCAAGAGCATCCTGACAGGGATGCTGCTTCTAGCAACTCCAGTAAGAAGACTGCAAAGCAGCCAGACAACTGGATCACACTTGCAGAATGACAAAGTTTGCCAATACCAAAATCGAAATATAGCATACACCATCAAAAGTTACATTCATAAAGAAGGAAAAATATTTCAGGAACGGTCAGTGAAATGGCCTGTGGGCTTAGTGCAAGCAAGAGCAGAAAGGTTCTCTTGCCTACAAAGCTAAAAACCAGCATTCAGGACAATGGAAGAGAACTTGTTTCTATTTAATAATTAACATGACAGTGGGAAAACTTAACCACGGCAGAAGGGGGTAATGGGGTCCCAAGATTTCGCCAAGAAAATATTACAATGATGACAAGAGAAACCATTATACCATCACCCAACTGTCATGACAAGGCCCTGTCTCCAAGCTCAGAGCGCTTCCCCTCCACCGAGATGGACAAATTCTTGAGAAGGGAACAGGGAATGGCTTCTAACCGACCAGCTACAAGTTCAAAGAGGAGCACAGGATCATGTTAGTTGAAGTTTAGAAACAGAAGTAATGAAGACACAGGGGAAGGAACGAAGACAAACTTACTGCATCGTGCAGAAGGAATCTCTTTAGAGTAATAAAAACACAGACAATCCCACACAGTGCGAAACCAAGTCTAAGCTACCACCATCCCCACGACATCTGAGGGCATTTTCCTTCTTCACAAATAACACAGCAGAACTGGGCGCTGCCCAGCTCCCCACCCAGGCAAGCCTCTGAAGAGCCTGCACGCTCCCAGCCAAATGCTCTGAAGCTGACTCATTGCACCAACTTCTAAGGAAGGAACTTCCATCCTTACATATAATTTTTGCTTACAAAGCATGGTACTAAAACTGGTTCCTATAGAGATAAATTTTGCTGTGTTAGCTTCGTATTTTCATGCATTTGCCTTTTCAGAGGAGCTTGGTGGGTGTTTTCTCTGAGTACAGAGGAAAGCTGAAGACAGACCCACCACCTGCTACTTCTTCCGTGTTTATAACCAAAATCAAAACTCTTCACCTAGCATTCAATTAGCCATTACAACATGAAGAAATGAGACT